ATGGTGTATCCTGTGTAGCCCTGGTTGTCCTGGAACTCGCTATGTTGACCAGGCTGGCCTTGAACTCACAGAGATCCACCTGCCTCTGCCCCCCGAGTGCTGGGGTCAAAGGCGTGCGCCACCACACGCAGCCCGGCTTGTTTGAGAGACGGTCTCTCCTCCCGCCTCTATGATTCCTGACACCTGTACTTGGGTTGGCTGATTGGTTTTGTTTTGAGGAAAGGCCTCAATATGTAGCCATAGGAAACTTCCTCTGTAGGCCAGGCTGGCCCTGAACTCACAGAGATCCGCTTGCCTTTGCCTCCCGAGTGCTGGGATTAAACTCAGGTGCCACCACCGCCCGGCCCCTTTTATTTTACGACAAATTCTCACTATGTAGCCTGGGGTGGTTTTAAACTTTATTTATTTATTTATTTATTTATTTATTTATTTATTTATTTATTTATATTTGTGTGTGTGTGTGTGTGTGTGTGTGTGTGTGTGTGTGTGTGTGCGCGCGCCATGGCACATGTGTGGAGGTCAGAGGGCAACTTGATGGAATGGTTCTCCCCTTCCACCACATGGGACCTGGGGGATCAAAGTCAGGTCATCTGGCTTGGTGGCAAGTGCCTTTACCCACTTGGCCATCTTGCCAGCCAATGAATTTTCAATCCTCCTGCCTCAGTCTGTAGGATCATAGGCATGCAGGGGGAGGGGGGTGCCCCCCACCCAATGTGGCATAGAGATCTTACATGTAACAGGACTTTCAGTGAGCAGACGATTAACACACGATGGCCTTTCTCAGCATTATCCACTGTGGGAGCCAGGCTGTGGTTGGCTCAGAGGCTGTGGGAAGGGGGAAGTGGAAACTCAGACGGGGAACTGCCTTGCCCCCAGGGTCACGTGGGCAGAAACTGGAAGAGCCAGGATTTGAACTCAAACACTCGGCTGCCAGACCCTTGATATTTTGCCCTGACCTTGGTGTCAAAGCAGGGCAGGCACCAGGCAAGTGGGTCAGAGGGGCCATTTAGGTGGCCTCAAGGCATCCTTAGGTCTCCAGGGGCCCATCACCTATGGCCTCATTCCTGATCCCTGGTGCTCTGCCCAACCCCCTCGATGGGCGCCAGGGCCTCTCTGGCTCCTCCTTGGCCAGCTGAGGGGAGGAGCTCTTGGAGAGAGGTCTGTGAACTTGTCCCCAGAGATGGTCACTCAAGGTTAGTCGTCACTAAGGTGATGTGTTTGTATGGGGAGGCCTGGAAGGAGACCAGGTAGGCGGTTAGGATCTGTAGATTCTTGTTTGCTTGTTTTCATGAAAGGTTCTCAGGTAGCCCAGGCTGGCCTCAAACTCACTGTGTTGCTTTGGATGACCTGGAACTCCTGATCCTCCGTCAGATCAGCTGGTTTTATGTGGAGCTGAAGGTCAACCCCAGGGCTTCAAGCATGCTAGATAACCGTCCTACTTACTAACTGAACTATATTCCCAACTCTCCGTGTGTATCTGTGTGTCTCTGTGTGTTTTG